GGAGTCAAATCACTCACCTGTATATCTCTTAGAAGAAACTCAATGCCCGAATGAAAGACGCGCTTGACGAGACCTTAATACTCAGCGATAAGTGCGAGCAGTCCCCTCTTGTCCCCAATACCTCTTCTCATAAAGATAGGATCATCCAAGAGCTCGTGGTGGAGATCTTGTCACACATTGGTGCACTATACAAGGCCTCTGAAGCGGTACTTGCACTATCTTTGCCTCTGAAACTGCTCACCATATCGAACCTCAGGTTGCCCTGGTTGATATGCTCTGGTCTTTCGCTCGTGCCTCCATTCGTACGCCACCCTCATCTCTTGATATCTCGGTCGCATTTACCTGCCTCGCCCTAGTGGGGAAATACAGTAGGTCAGAATGCAATGCATCAAGACTAAAGCTTAACCGACATGCGCAGTCCGCCCAGAATTTACTGGGACACTTGCGATCAAGTCCGGTCGGCATCCGGTCCTGGAAACGATTCAGGCTCCTGGAACGCTCGTTCCCAATGACGCGTATTGTGATGACGCCTCATCCTTCCAAATTATCCAAGGTCCTAAGTATGTTCGCGAATTCCTCTTTGGCTTGCCCTATTGACTCGGGCTTTTTTATAGCATGTCCGGTAAGGCAAAAACGGCTTGAATTCTCACCCTGGCTCATGATACCAGGCAAAAGCACCTATCTCCGCCAAATTGGCCTCTTGATGGTGATGGCGATGTGCGGTTGCTATGTACCTGCTGAATATGCGAGCTTCCGGTTTGTCTTCACTATAGCGTATTCCCCAAAACTAACCCCGAAACAAACCAAGTATCCACGATGCACTGCTGACTCGCTTGTCGAACGACGATGACTTGGAGAAGTGTTTGAGTACATTCGCAAGTGAAATGGCATCTTCAGCTATGATCCTCGGTATGGACTGCAGTTTTCGCATCTTACGTGCTAAATAAGGGCTTTTGGTAGGCCTGGCTACTCCGCGAACTCTGGTTTTGATCGATGAGCTTGGGAGGGGAACCTCCCCTCGAGAAGGAGTTGGTATCTCTCATGCCATTGCGGAAGGCTTGATCGCCACCAAGGTGATACTTCCATTTCTTTGGTCCACTTGTCACTCATCTACCCAGGGGTTTGTATTCTTTGCAACGTGCGCCGATATGGGACTTCTCATATTTACGGGTTTTGAGCAATTCACCATAGGCACTTCAACGAACTCACGCTCACGCTTTCGCGTCAACCTTCTGTTGTTCGGTAGGAGTATTATCATTGGGTACGCTATAAGCCTAACTCTGAACAGACTTCACCTTCTCGTTCAGGTAGACCCCATGCTCAGCGGAGTCCTCGCTTGCTCATACCTTCTTAGAGGAGTCGTCGGACGGCCTCGAACTTTGGATTGACATTCCAGTACAAGTAAGCCTGAATCTAGCACTCGGATTCGACAGACATATGTACCCCCACAGGATCGTTGATGGCGCAGCGGACGACATCCAACACTATGGTATATCTACTCAACTTTGCAGTTTCTAGCTAACTCGCGTACCTGGAGGCCTCGAGCTTGCGCGTCTGGCGGACCTACCGGAAGACGCATCGACCGAAGCCAGTCGAGTTACTGAAATTCTTACAGCCTTGCAAGGGCACCACGAAGAAAACAGCATCAGCAGGAAGATCGCGCTGAGGAGAAAGGCTATGCTCAAGGTGCCCAGTGTTCCGCGATTCCTGTTGTGACTTATTGATTATCCGGACTCGACTCGACTGCATGTGCTTCCAGCTTCGAACTCAGTTGACACAGACGCTCGAACATTCTACTCTCCCAAATGAAGAGTTGCTTACCTATCTTTCTGGGTTCCAAAAGAACATTGCCCGGGTGTTCCTTCAAACTGGCGATATCTGAAGTCAAACTCCGAATCCTCTGCTCTCGATGGACGATTATATGCGGTTCGGTTCCTCAAGTTGCACTCCTGGACGAAAACCTCAAGATTGTAGTAACTAGATGATGGTGCACGTCTCCTGTGCTAGTTGGGCCCTAGAATAAAATGATTTTTACATTGTCAACTTGTTGAATGCGTGACCCAACAGCACTGCCCGCTTCAAGCGTTTCCCTAATTCCTTCATGATGAGAGCAATAAGGTGAAAGTCATATTGATATTTTATGGTTCAAGAGGCGCATGGTCATCTACAGACCGGCAGCAAGTATGTCTGAACACTACAGGTTATTCAGAAGCCGTGGAAAGGCGTTGAAGCCATTGAATCGATGTCCATTTTGGATTCCACATTTGCACTGGAGGACAAGATGGAACGATTCATAAATTGAATAAGTTGTTCCCTACGCCAAGCCAAATGAGATATCAAGACGGAGAGAATGTTAAACAGGAAGGCACCTCTTCTGATTCCGGAGTTTGGTGAGCATCTCCAAGACATCGTCTTGTTCCTCGACCAACATTTCGCCTCCAGGAAGGTTTATGGCGATATCCTTAGCCTGAGTAAAAGATGCTCTTAACTCGTTTGTCTGCGGGAGATCAACGTTCAGTGATTGTATGGGTTAGGAGAGTCAAGGAACAGACTGCATTGCGCAAAGCTTGTTTAGCTTGAGGTGTTGTTGCACCTTCGCCTTTGTGGACAAGGTCTATGATGTCGACTAATTTCTTTAGGAGTCCTTCATAGAGGGCTGTTGGAAGTGGCGCCGCACTCATGGGGCAATTACCCTAATGTGCAAGTGGTTTGAAGGACAAACTTGAAAGATAATTAGATGGTCCGCGGATTTGACGCTGGGCCAACTTGGACCAAACTTACAGACCTATTATGGTTGACATATCGGATTTCTTATCGAAGGTACCTTTGGCGATATTCAGGTGCTATAACACTGTGGTTACTGTAGAGCAACTTTTATAGGCTAGTACAATCTATTCATTTCGCCAATATCGATGCAATAAGGTCTTCAACCGTCGCGATCTGCCACCGCTGTTCTGTAACCCGGAAAATATCAGGGAACCAATCGCGTGTCTTCTTCCTCTTATTACTGTTCGCATTCGGGGCTTCACCATCCACACCAAGAACCATATATGCTAGAGCTTTAGCAGACATCCAAGCATGAACCATACCTTCCCCGCTGTAACCCGCAGCAATCCATTCTGAGGGCGGTGGGCCGTGATCAGCATGCTTGGTATCGGATATCGGTCGAAGTCGTTCAGTGATACTTTCCGGCATCGAACCAACCCATGGTCGTTCATCCACAGATGCACCAAGGACACCAGTCCAAACGGATTTCGTATCCTCCTTGTCTTTCGGACTTTGCCCTTCCACAGTAAAGTACGAAGCAAGAGCACCGCTAAGGTATTCCGCGACCTCGGGATTCCACACGCGATCGTCCGCATTCGCCATTTCAGTAAGGATGTAGTTGGTGCGAGCAAAGCCGCCGCCGAGCATGAGTTCGGCTTCTGGTGGAGGGTAATTTGAGGGCCTATCGACCGGACTGGCGGGTTGTTGGGTAAGGTAGTCGTATCCATGGCTATCTGGGTAGAACACGAATGACCTCTTTCCGGACCAGGATTGTTCCTCTCCTTCTGTTGGTGGAGGCGCATTACCTAGACCTGGGCGGGGAGTCTGAGCGGTCATGCATCCACGCGCAGGGATAATTTTCCCTCGCATTTTTGGGAGAAGGTGGCCAGACCACCCATTCGTCGCATGAACGATGTGCTTGGCTCGGATCGTTCCTTTTGGTGTGATGACATGATATAGCTGTTTCTCTTCACGACGTGGTGAAAAGATGGAGGTGCATGGCGTTTGTGCATATATTTTGAAACTGGTGGCATTGTCATCAAGTATCAGCGAGAGGAAAAGCTTCAAACCTACCTCGTTGGATATGACCTGAGCAGTCTTGCGAGAATGCCAGTAACAAAGCGGTAAGGGTGAATAGCACCACCCACAGTTGCTATACAACCAACGGTCTTGTCCGACAGTTGGAAGGACTAAAAAAAATCCATAGTACGCGTCACTGGAAATCATATCGCTGGGAAAATTACCTTCAGCAATTCTGCTCCTTCGTAAACCCGTTCGTCTCGACTTTCATCTGGCATGCCTTTTTGATAGATTTCCAGGTTCTTCTTCAAGTCATCATACACCGTCTGATCGCCAAACACGTCAAACGATTCCACTTCTCTGGCTTGGGAGTCTGCAAGAAGCCCTTCCTCTTTTGCGACACCGAGAAGCTCATGAAGGTGTGAGAGACGAAAGCGGATGACCTTTGCTGCCATTTCAGATCCGTATCGTTCCACCAGTTTTGGATAATCATGATAAAGAGGTGGAGTTATATGACCACCATTTCTATTAGACACCGACGTCAACAAATTGGCGCATCGCTAACCAATAGAGAAAAAGAGCAGACCTCCCGGTTGCACCAGAACAGAGATCCCTCGCTTCGAGCATGACCACTTGTAATGTCTTATCTTCATCGCCGTGCTTTACGTCGTAATCCAGCACCGTTCGAGCGAACGAAGTCCCAGTGATACCACTCCCAATAATCACAATATCCGCATACGATACAAGTTGCGCATCAGCACCATGTCTCGCGAGTGGTGAAGCAGGAACAAGCCAGTACGGAGTCGAAGGATTCGATACCGGAAGTCCAGGTGTGTCGTTTATCCGTTGAAATAGGGCTTTCACTGATGGATAATACCAAGAAAGCAACTGGATGGCCAGTCGGATAATCCGGTTGCGCACTGCACGGGGAAGACGAGAAAGAGTTCCACCCATCCTGGGGGCTGAATACGAGAGAATCTGTGGGGAAGGAAGGAGCCCACCTTGGGTCGAAACACTGGATTTTAAACGTTAGAGTGTCATTCTTCGAGCTCCGATATGTACATGACAGCTGAGAACATACCTGCTGCGGCTCTGTCTATCCCATGGAGGAAGATCATTAGACGCGCATCTCGGCTCGGTCCGGGTCATAACCGGCGTGCAGCCATTTCAGAAACCTGCCATCCTTGGAGTCCAGTTAGCCGCACCTCCAACAAGTCCCCGTCGATTAGTGGTTAAATCATCTCGTTGTGGTCAGTTCATAACCGAGAAGCCGGAGGTTCGAATCCTCCCCGGGACACTTTTTCGTCCAGAGCAGATTCCTTTTCATCGTATCAATTGCTAGATCTAAGATCATTAAGTTTGCTCACTCCGCTCATCACGTTTAACAAGACAACAAATGGGTTCAGCTGGAATAGGCAGGATGTGGATATTCTACATGATGGTGGTGCTAACGAGGATGGTAGATATAATGCATTGTAGACATGAGATACTTAGTCCCAGACGCTATGGACCAAAACTACCAGGATGGCGCATTGTTGTATGTACCATTACGGTTGTTTCCATTCTGCGCAGGGCTTGATGGGGACCAGGCAGGTGATGTTGGGCTGTATGCGGGCGAGGCAGGAGCTAACAAGGATGTTAGACATAATGGAAAACCTCGGCAGGTGAAACTTACAGTATGCAGGTGCTAAAAAAGCAAAGTTAGATCAATGCAATAAGCAACAGAGGTGATCAACTTACATGCAGGGGAATACGTGGGTGAAGTGGGTGCTAAATCGAGGAGGGTCAGTAGACTCTAGGCAGTAGAGAGTGGTACATACAGTATTTTGGCGACGACGGAGAGGCCATGGGCGAGGTTGGTGAGTACTTCGGAGATGAGGGGGAGAGCTGATGCATTGGGGCTAAGGTATTGTTAGCATGATCATCCTATGGATAGAGGAGAAACTTACAGGCTGTAGAGTAATGGAACAAGTGATAAAAGACGTGAGTAACCGAAAGGCAAGGATGTTGAATGTAATTTAAACGTACTAGGGGAGTCTATATGCAATCAAGATTAGTATATGTGCTGTCGATGATCGGAATATACGTACATCGCGGAGAGGCAGGACTGAAAGACGGACTTGTTGGGGAATAACGAGGGGACGTCGGACTGAAGGAAGGTGACTGCGGACTGTAGCGTGGTGATGTGGGTGAGAACGAGGGCGACGTTGGGGAATATCGTGGACTCGTAGGCGAATACCCAGGTGACGTGAGGTTGAGTGCAGGAGATGTCGGCGAATACGTCGGGGATGTGGCGCTGCGATAGAAGGGAGAGGTAGCATACGGTGAGGTGCCAAAGGGAGATGTTGCTCCCCCGAAGGGTGACTGAGGCGCGAAGCTAGGCGAGGTTGGTGCGTAGACATTGGGGGAGCTTGGGCTGTAGCCTGGTCCGCCAGGTGACATACCACCAGCGCCAATAGGACTTTGACCATACGCCAGCCACTTGAAGTTTTCGGCATCCTCTCCGCCATTCACAGCCAATGGGGAGAAAGCTGCTTGGTCTCCTTTGAAGACACTTTCTGACCAAACGGGGGAGTTCGTGTCGTAGGGTGTCATTGCAACCTGCCCTGGAGTCATACCGCCGTCAAGCTGCGCTGCAAGCATCGATTGGACAGGAAGGCGATGATCGACGATAGCGTCCTTGAGCATGTCAATGTCCAGTGCCACGTCAAAGGATCCTGTGCCCATTGGTGCCATTTGCCCAAACATCACATTCTCTGCAATGCCGTGGCAGTCATCCTTTTCGCCCACAGCAGCAGCTTCCATCAAGATCTCAACGGTCTCCTCGAATGAACAGCGCATGAGCGCCCCAGTGTCTGAGCGGTTGATTCCGTGGCGAGTGATAGCCATTAAGGAACCACGCTGGGTCATCAGATCCGTGAGGAGGGCGAGATGTCGGTAGTTGACGTAGGAACCGTCGAATTCGATAACGTTTCGCAGCTCCTTCATAATCGCAGCCCGAGCGGCCTCGATACCTAGGATTCGGAAGACCTCGACACAACTGTTTGAATATGTGCGTGTGAAGTCAACTCCCTCAATGGCCATAACGGCCTTGAGGTTTACGCCATCTGTCTCCAATACCCACTCCTTCTCCTTTCCGGTGGTGATTGAACCATCTTCATCGACAAGGATCTTGTCTTGCTGAGAGAGGAAAACACGCTTGATGCCCTCGACACCACGAAGGCTGACCGAGTTAAGCATGGTATTTTCGAGTTGTCGAAGGAAAACATCTTCTTCAACAACATTCCCATCTTCATCTTTGTCACTACCACCAAGCACACGGCAACGAATGACGAGCTGGTCCGCATTATCTTCACTCCAGATAACAAACAGGTCGTTCTTGAAACATTCGGATATCCGTCCGGCGACATAGTGCATTGTGAGTTTCCTGTCAATCATCTTTGCACGATCCAAAACAAGTCTCAGCAGCCAAGGGGACATGAGATGGAGCTTTGATTCCATCTCTTCATCCGGAATGGCGAAGAAGGACTCGACGAACACCGAGTCTTCCTCAATGATAGTGGAGGTGGGATCTGGATCATACCAGATTTCGACGGCACCAGTAACGGTGCGAAGGGATGTGTAGGCAAGCTCTTGTTGGACGGCTTTGGCAAGCTTTGGGTCGGCGGCAATATCGGGGGTAAGGTAGACAGTGAGGGAAGGGGTTTTGATATTTGTTGCGACGTTGATAATTTCTTTCAGGCGGGGAACACCCAGCGTGACATTCTTGCTTGAAACACCAGCATAATGGAAGGTGTTAAGGGTCATCTGCGTAGCTGGTTCACCAATCGATTGTGCAGCAAGAGTACCACACATCTCTCCCGGATGTACAAGGGATTGATTGAATTTGGATTCAACCTCACCAACGACCCAATCGAAAGCCTCTCTGGTCAAATGGCATTTTTCCAGGACACGCCGGGCCGCGAAGGTTGCACGCAGATGCATGCGGAATCCTACGGTGGCATTTTCTTGCGATTCTTGGCTGAGGTGGTCGTCACCACGAACAACTACCAATCGTTGTCCAAGGTTCCTAATCGAGTCCACAATATAAGCAGGCTCAAGGTCACTTGGTTTCCGTCGGTCGATGTGGAAAATTTGGCTGTCGTTTCGCACGATACGTTGGAGGTTGACGGGGAGATAGTGAGGATTGTTCGGGGAGGCGCGGGGGTAGATGAAGGTACGAAGTAGCCTGCGATCTTCTTGCAGCTGAGCATACTCTTCGTCGAGCTTCGCCTGAAGCTCAAGCGAGCTGTCGTCGATGCCAAGTTGAAGGACGCCTGGCAGGAAGCCACCTTCGGGATCTGTGACATCAACACGGTAGCTGTGCTGGAATTCCCGGTTATTGAGGGCGAAGGTCTCGATGTTCTGACGCTCGATAAATGCGCCATCCATACCATCCTCACCGTAAATGAATTGGATCAGGTCACCCAGGGAGTTTCGAACCGTTCCGTCATAGCAGACCATCACGTCTTCGAGCGCCTTCACCAGACGACGCTGAATATAACCTGTTTCGGCTGTCTTCACGGCTGTATCAATCAAACCCTCTCGACCGGCCATGGCGTGGAAGAAGAACTCTTGTGGGGTGAGGCCACGCAGGTAGGAGTTCTCGACAAAGCCGCGGGACTCGGGGCTGAAGTCGTCCTTCGTGAAATGAGGCAAGCTGCGATGACGGAAACCGAACGGGATTCGGCGACCCTCCACACTCTGCTGGCCAACACAGACAGACATCTGGGAGATGTTGATGAAGGAACCCTTGGATCCGGCGACCACCATCTGTTTCACGTTGTTGTCCTCTTTCAAGTTCTTCTGCGCGAACTGACCAGATTGATCACGAGCCAAGTTGAGTTCACGTTCGACCTTGCTTTCGAACGATTCTCGGATGGTCATACCGGGGAGAGGCTTGAGTCTATCCTGGGTAGCGTCCTCTATGATCTTCTGGACCTTTTCCTTGCTCTCCGAAATAATCTTCGTGATATGGGACATGGTCTTCTGATCAGCGATGGTGTCGCCGATACCAATGCTAAAGCCGTTGTGGAAGAGCCAGTAGTTGACCACCATTTGAAGCCCAGTGAACAATTGTTTGGTGGTTTCGGGCCCCTTCTCGCGGAAGCAGACATGCACCAAACCACCCTGCGCAGCTCCAACGGTCTTCTTCTCCACAATACCGAAGATAAGCTCTCCATTCTCGATGAGGATGCCGTCGTCAAAAACTGGATTCGACGAACGGGGGTCGGGTGAACGGTGAATATTGATCCCTCGAGGTATTGTAAGACTAAGAATCTGTTTTCCTGTCCACAGAGGCTTAGGCTTGATAATGGCAGGTATCGGGACGGCCCCGTCCCAGTCAGGGACCCATAGCAGGATGTTTTGAACGGCATTCCAATCGAGGAATGTGTCACGCAAGGTGAACTTTCGGATACCACAGAGCGTGTCTTGGACAATGCCCATGACAGGTTTGTTGGCCTGTGGCGAGATGATCTATAAAAGACTGAGTATATTCCAGTAGCTGAGGTCAAACGGGCTTGCTTACCTGCCGAGGGACCCATGCAATTTGACTGAGCTCCGCACGCGTCTCCTCGCTCTGAGGGATGCTGGACGATAACAGTCTGAGTACGAAGTCTTCGAAGTTTTTGTCATACTTACTGCATGTTCATCTCATCTCCGTCGAAGTCGGCGTTGTAGGGCGGTGTGCTGTCATATTATGAGCTTTCAATCATAGACACTGCTGCGGACTTACACAGAAAGATTAAGGCGGAAAGCTAGTGAGAGGAATTAGTAGGTGTGGAAGAACCGAAAAGACTACTCACTTGAATATGGCATAAGCTTGACACGGTGACTCATCATACTCATCTTGTGGAGGGAAGGTTGTCGGTTAAACAGCACCAAACTGAGCACTGTCAGTAAATCGTATCTACCTCCAAGTTTTTGCACTCACTCGCCGTCCTTTAGATGTCGCTCTACAATCCATCCGTACTGAAGAAAGGCATCCGCACGCTTGTTATAGCGCAAGTCTATTCGCTCCCCGGTGTCGCGAACAACATAACGTGCACCGGGATAGACAGTTGGACCGTTTCGCACCAGTTCTTGCAGGTACGCGATATTGTAGGGCGTGACTAAAAATCATTCCATGAGTGCGTCATCCTCGGGAATACTGAAAAGCCTTACCGCGTTCGGGAAATGTCAAGTTCATTGCTATACTGCGGGGAACGCCGACTTGATCAAGCTCCAAGTTCGGATCGCCCGTAATGACCGTCCGCG